AAAATAATTAGAAAGAACTAAAACAGTTTCTTTATATGTGTTTAAACTATTTTCTTAAGATATAGACTTACCTAGTAATTTCTGATGCAGTTAGTCCAAAATATTATTTGTAAATAGTAAGCAACATGGAAAAGTCAAGAGTTACATAATTTATATTCACAAGTACTCTAATATCTTAGCATGTTCTTTTATTCAACTTTTCTAAAATAAACAAAAATATCAATACTTTAGCTGAATTGGTAATTCAGTATATTACTGAATATAATCAGAATTGTGGCAAAAGAATTGGTATAGATCTGCAATCTCTAATTTGAAAGAACAAAAATAATTTGTTTTTTTAACATCTATTCATTACTAAACCTTCCTGGGAGTGAATACAAATTAAAAAGTTAAAATACATAAAAGTTTAAAAAAAAATTTTGTTACTAATGAGAAATGAAATCATCTGCTAGTTCAAAACAAATGTGAGTCAATCGACTATTTTTAAACGCTCAAACACCACTTTGAAATATTTATTCTTCATTTCAAACTTTGCTTACCTTGGAATGTGTCCATATTCTGGTACAACAGAATGGGGCAATGCATTAAAAGGTACTCCAAATATTTTACCCTAAAATGACAAATTTAGTTACTCTAACACAAATATTAAGCATAATATAAATTTTCTTAAACAATAGGCAAATTTGAAAAAAGATGGCAGAAATAAACTATCAGTCAAAACAAAGAAAACAATTATTTCAAGTATATTTGGTGAAGAGTAACATGCTAGGTGCTGAGTATAATGAGGGCAAATATAAAATCAGAGTCCTCAAGCAATGTAGTAAATTCCATTAGTTTCCAGTTAGTGCTTCGTCAGGAAATTCTTAAACAGGTTATGTCCCAAAACACTGCCATTTCCCTCAAAATACTACCTGTTCCTTCAGTAACCTTATAAATACTGACCTTGACTTTATACCTTCCTTCTGTCACCTTATAAATACTAATTTGAACAAAAGGCTAAGTTGACTGATAATGGTAATTCCTATCATTCATTGGGTATACTTCCTAAAATGATACCGGAAGTGGTGGTTATTTTTAGATCTGATTATCTTTTCCACACTCCATGGAAAAGTGCTATTCAAACTATGTTGTGAGGTACCCAACAAAGGGATTCTGCAAACATTTAATTCAAATTTAATTTAACTACTTTGAAAACCATTTTAAATAGTCACATTCAAAGGTATTACTTACATTCAAAATTTAATATATTGAAGATCCCAAGAGTAAACTTGTATGTCGGTTAACTTGCATGCTTGTACACACCTTGCCACTATTTTTGTGCATGCATTCAAACTTCTTAAAAATGTGTCTCTGATTAAGAAAGTTGCAGCTTTTCACTGGACTTAAAAAATAAGTTAAATCCTACATATGTCTACTTATACAAAATTAAATAAGTGGGTATACCTAATCTCCCAAATGTTAATTTAGCTTAAATGAATCTGCTCTCCAAGAATGGTCTTGATGCACTTATGTTTAAGAGTATCTCATTTAACCTTATTTCTTATTTACAATAAGAAACCATTCCTCAGTATTGTTCATGAGTCAACAGACTAACAAAATCTCACTAGTCCTTTTTCAAGCACGTGGCTCCATTTCATTGAGGCACACAGAAAAGACAATGCAGTACAGGACTACCAGATTTTAAATACTGGCTCTTCCACTTATCAAGTGATCTTGATCAAATTAAAATTAACACTCTATGCCTCAGTATCCTCACATAGGTCCTAAGTCATGGGTGTATAAAGAATTAAAATATGTAAAACATTTATATCAGTGTCTGACACAGAGTAAGCATTCAAAGAATATTTGCTGCTGTTACAATTAACATTTCAAGGAGATACTTAAAAAAAATAACCTAGGCAGCCCCTTGGTTTGGGTAAACTAGAATTTTCTTGATACTGTGCAACCAAAGTGCAAAAATAAATCAGATGCTGAAGCTGATTACATGTCTACAAATGTCATACATAAGTAGAATTCAGAGTGGGTTTGTTTTGTTTGTTTTTATATTTTTAACTTATCTTTATTACAGGATGGTTTTTTCTCCCTTAAATCTCACTATTCTCAATACTTGGCTTCACAAGTGACTACTAAAGCTTAATCTCATAAAATAAATAGCATGCTTTTTAAAAGATTTCTAGTTCTTTTCTTAAAAAGCTCAAAACTATCATTAGCCAACCAACACCAGACCTAAAGAAATCTAGTTTTCAAACAACTACCTATCTTGTTAGATCCCATTCATATAACACTACAATCTTCTGTATTTCTTTATTAGATTATATTAGTGGTTCTTGTGTGACAATCAGGATGCAGATCATTTATTATTGTAACAACTATAACTAGTTTAAGTGGCATGTGACAGGCACTGTGCTAGTCCTATAGACGTATCTTAACGTTTTTTAAACAACTCGAGAGATGCCATCATTCCCACTTTATAAAGTAGGAAACTGAAACTTAGGAAAATTAGAGTCCAAGATCACACACATAGTAGGGGTAGAGCAGAATTCAAACTCAGATCTATCTGAATCTCAACACAGATGTGAGTTTTTCTTAAGAGGTGAAAAAAAATCTGTACAAATTCTTTCATATTCTTACAAAACCAATTATATTTGAGATCTTGGAAAGCCAGTTATACAACCAGAAGAAACCACTGTACCTTTTAAATAGAAATAGATATGTTGCCACTAAATTGCAAACAACAAAAACAATTTCTCCAGAATTTATGAGGTCTATAAATCATTTTTTAAAAAATCCTTACTGGAGGACATGTTTTTATTGACGAGAGAGAGAAACATTAATTGGCTGACTCCTGTAAGTGCCCCAACCTGGGATCTAACCTGCAACCTAGGTATGTGCCCTGAATGGGAATGAACCAGCAACCTTTTGGTGTACAAAACGACATGCCAACCGACTAAGCCACCCTGCCAGGGCACAAATCATTTTTGTTAGTAGTTTCCTTCTCCAAATACTTACTATATTTTCTTTCAGAAATTATAAACTATTAAGAATCACAAAATTTAGTTTTATCAGTTTTCAGCCCTAAGTACCTAGAAAGTGCCATATAATTTAGGCTAATAAATTTAAAATAAAATGCTTTATATTCCATTTACTTTATTTTTCAAAATGAAATTCTTTCGTGTGTGTGTGTGTTTCTGTTAATTCTCACCGGAGGATATTTTTCCATTGATTTTTAGAGAGAGTGG